TGAATGAAGAGAGCGAAATACGAAAACCTGAAATAAGGCGGAACTAATTATGCTGCTGTTGAGGTTTACTTCATCAAATTTCTCAGCAATCTCCCCTTCTTAATTAGGTTTAGTTTAAAACTTGGCTGGGATCCTTGTACAGGTCCCAATCAGCTCAATCGCCACGGATAAAAAGCAGAAAAAAAGAATTTTGAGAGGGTTTTCCGGGGTTCTTCTAAGAATCAGTCGAAAAATGAACAGAAGATTACTTCACTCACATACAAATGCAGTCGCACGAATTTCTAAGAAATCTCTATTCATGCGAATGAACCACGTAGTTCGATTAAAAATGAATTCAAATAAGCTTGCCACCAAAAATTCGACTTATTACAAACGAGGGAACTAGGCTAACAAGAAATAAAAAATTGTAAAATTGAATTTATTACTGTATAAAAATTTCTACAATATTCCTGTAATGATGATCAGGACATAAAAGCCTTTTTTCAAGCAGGAAATATCTTAAGCAGGAAATATAATTTCGCAGCGGATCTGCTGTGCTGTGTGCAAACTTATTTCTGGATGAAGATGAACCGTGAGAATATAAAATTAGGCAAAGTAAGTGTAAAAATAATAATACAGTACCAGCATACAGTACATACAGTTCATCGGAAACTTTTCCAAGCAACTTAAAAGAAGACTTCTGGAAAACGTGGTGATCCTCAAGATCGAATGTCACGTTGCTCACATGGCAAATTCACGGATGATTTAAATATTTTAAACCTTCATGACCGCGAAGTTCTTCGTTCACCGAATTCGCAAAAGTAAAGAGGGATCAATTATCCAAGAGTCAAAAGAAGTCCTTTTTCATTCGGCAAAAGAATTATCTTTCACAATAAATTTTTTATTCGCATACTGTATTTCAAATACATGCAAAAGTACTGTACCTCAACCACTGTCAATTATTACACCTTTCATTAACGTGTGACAGAGAAGCTAAAGACTCTCCCAACAATTGGTCAAATATATCTCTGAAAAATAAGCATACTTCGAATGCAATTAAGCACGAGACTTTATAAAAACCCCCGAACCCATAAACCATTCACCAGGGTTTTGCTCTCGATAATTAAATTACAGTACAGTATTTTCAACTATCAAATTTGCTTAAATTATTTTTTCCACTGAGTAAATAAAAGTCAGACAAAAAAACGAAGTCCCCGAAATTCCAGGATATCCGTCAGTGGACTTATCTCTCTTCAGCCTTATACAAGACGTCGACGTCGACGACCGCCCGCAATTTAAAACCTGATACATTCGCAGTGACGTGGTTCCGTACGGACGACAGCCAACGGACCGCCCTAGGCGATTTTCCCCCTCACAGGCAGCAAGTGCACAATTGTGTGTGACACAGAGAGAGAGAGAAACATAGAGAGGAATGCACTGGAAGCAATTAACAACGAAAAAAGCGCGACTTCCTGCGATTTTAATTGAGGCATTCGGATCCCGGAATTCCCGCGACGAAGAGTCTCGCGTATAACATTCTTGCCGTCTTTAAGAGCTTTTATACATCTTCCCACCGTTAACGAAAGATTTATTCGGTCGTAGTTTAGGAGACTTCGCGGTCCGCGAGATATAAATCAAGATTTTTCACGGAAAATGAAACGACGTATATACGTTCCGTCTCAAAAGACTGGAAAAGAACAAACCGCCGGATTAATTACCTCTTTTATAAAAATTTGAAAAAAATACCAGAATTCCCGTTCCGTGCTGAAGGAAACTTTCCGAGTAAAGTCCCACAGCCATATACACAATCGGATTCGCATGTCAGGCGAATTTCAAGCGACTCCCGAAAGTCTTCCTGAGCGACGCTGTAATTCTGCAATTTCTTGAGCAGACGCGGTAAACATTTAATGCTTCACGGTTGCTGAACAAACAGTAATAGAAATTGTTTTACAGGTCACTGAGAAAGAGCGAGAAAATTTGTATTTAACAGGAGTTGTTTCACCACAATCCAACGCATAAAGCTCGAAATGCACGGGATAAAATTAATAAGGAACAAGAATCACGCTGTTTTGGAACAAAGCGATTACCATTTTACTCCGTCAAGCGTACTACATCGTTCAAATAAGTTTCAGTCACTATGCAATTCACCAGTTCATACATGCGGAAAAACCAAATGCGAGAAATTTGGAAAGAACGGTAATACAGTACTATACTGTTTACACACAAACTATAACAGTACTGTGCTGTCCTTAGTTCAAAAAAGAAACGCCCAGACTTAGGACAACTGCTGGAGGATTAGCATTACGGTATTTGCTAAAAATACTGTGATCAGATTCAGTTCTCACAGAGGAACACCACATACGGACACAAGCGTATAGAAATTCTGCAAACTCAAGAAGTAAGTTTTCCGTTTGCGCACTTCAATTGTCGAATTATAGAGTTCCTACGGCTTTTAAAAAATTATCCATCCATCCCGGCTTGTATAAATACGCTACTGCATGAGCTCTTTTTTATTTTTTTTTTACGACGAATGATCAGTAAGAAAGACTAACATTTGTTACCACCGGAAGAGAATGAAAACGGTATTAAAAGATGAGAGAATAAGGAATACGAATAAAGTTCATCAAATTGACTTCGGTAATTCAGATTTTTTAAAGGATATTGATGCCGTTCTACGTACGGTAAAAACTGAGCATTTTAAATGAAGTGAAGAGATATAATGAAAGGCCCTGCTGGAAAAAAATTATTTTGGACGTGTACTCGATAAGTTCGAATCCGTTGCCTAAAAACAGTGTCCGTACAGAATATCGAAGAAAAACGATCCCAACAAAATACTGTATTTCACTACTGGTGATTAAAAAGCGCAAAAATAGCATCCATTTTGGAATTTTCTTTCCTAAAGGCTATCTTGCAATGAGTAAATTTCGAAGACGAACAGCAGCTACTATTCGGAGCTAACTGCCTTATTGACTGGGACTGATGAACCGTTTCTTGCGATAATCCACGAGTACCTCGAAAACTGCTTCGCAAAAGTTCACTGCATATACTCCATTTTATTTACTTTATTCGTGGCATATGCTGAGGGCTGGTATTTTTCACGCGCTCAATTGCACAGTAGCTGTTCCAAGACTTCCGCACGGAACCGAAAAACGTACTAAATAAATTCAAAATACATTTTTCGACTGCTCACTTGACTGACACTGATACGAAAAATATTGACTACTCCACCACTGGGAAATTTATGATAATTGCCAAGAGCTGCCATCGCTTTACGAGCGATTATTCCACGCCTTTCAAGATATTGCCCAAGTTTTCCTTCCCGAATAGGTAATATGCACTATACTCCCTTGCCCCAAAGGAAGGCATTTAAATTCTGCAGTCGCCTCAATGTGCTTTTTCAATCGGGCTTGACTTCGAAAAATAAACCTCCTAAAGGACGAAGAGAGAGGGATTTATATTTCGGATCAGCAGCTCACGAAGGAGCGATACTGCAATATTGCTGAGCTTGAAATGCATTAATGTGACAATATGCTGCCTTTGAAAATGGAACAATAAATGATTAATTATTATTTTTTACCTCTTGCTCGAAAGATTTTATATGAAGCTAGAGAAAAATTGGTCCAGTCTAAAATGAAATGCTAACCTTTCTTGGCTTGAAAACCTGTTTCCAAAAGCACATTTTTACGGCAGATCCTTTTTATGAATTAAAAACAAGTTACTTGGACGATAGCCGATACTTCGTCCTTCAAAGGACTGAATTAAGCTCTCATTCATTGAGCGACGAAGCTGGGCTTGAAAAAATATATTTCATCAACATAATTTAAATAATTTATTTTGTATATTCCTTGAGTAGAGATCATGAACGGGAATCACAGATCTAATGGATCTGCAGATCACTGCCGAATAAGAATCAGTGTTCGAAGTCATCAACAGTAAAAGGTACTGTATATGGATACTTCCTGCATTCACTCAAGTACCACGCGCACCTTAGTTCTCATTTTCCAAAAATCATAGGGCATCTTAAAAACTACATGAGGTAAAAATCTAAATACAAGTTGACTTCAATATTGATATTTTTCTCCCATGCGAAACAAAGAATCATTCAAAACTAGACTTGAAAAAAATTTGACAGTGGGGAAAAGTTCGACGTTAAAAACGATGTACAGTACTGTAATATAAATTATTTTTAAATCATTTTTGCCCCTGTACAGTACTTGGATAAAAAGGTGTGCGTTATAATATTAGGAGTAAATACGGTATCAACTTCCCAAAGTATTTGTTGCAATTTCGAATAATGCATCCGGCTAGTTTGAAGGAAAACTAATAGGATTTTACAAACCGAACACTGGAAACCCTGTTTTTCAAAGCGATTCCCCAAACCACCCGTCCAATGCCCCACGCTAACACCATCAGTGGTACGCATATTACCAATCGGTGGTTGAAAGCCCCTCGTGGTCAACTCCACCTCGCTTAGCGCCAACTGCATCCGCCCCCTCCACTCCCCTTAATTCAGGAAGTGCATTCCACAGTCACACGACGGCGAGGAAAAGGGAGGCATCAGATCCCCTCCTGATCAACGACGTGATTCGGACCGAGGGCCACCCCGCGAGGAAATCGACATGTTCACCATTTAATTGGGAGCTCATTACCCGCGGCGGCGCAGCCGCTCTTTTTCGCCGCCGGCGTGCTCATGTTCTACTACGGTGCTCTTGAATCGACCAGGCTTGCGCTTTCGGGAAGACGACGTTTTTATTTTTACGAAGACCAGCAAGCAAACGAATCCGTAGATAGGAATAGAGCGACACCAGCAGTAAATCTTCGAAGATTTCTCGGGAGTTCGTGAACCTGCCGAGAACATTGACATGATCACGGATAATGTTGAAGGCATGTTATATTCTTGATAGAAGTGATAAAAAGCTTTCTACCTTATCTGTACCGTTGCGACAGTTTTTACTCGAGTTTCGCGGAAAACAATTTTCAGAGATAAAAGCTGTCGTTAGGCATCAAAATGAGGGAGCGGATTTTAAATGGAAAGAAACAGTTTGGTTTATTTAACTCGGGATTAGTACAATAGTGCACAAATTGAATATGTCTGCAGAAGTTACTTCGCGAAATACATTCACTTCAATTTCCGTACAAAAAGAACCTCGAGCATCCATCAATAGTCAATTGCATTAACCCTTTCTCGCATTTCCAACTCAGGTACAGTTCATTCTTCAGTTCCAGCCCTGCCCGACTTTCATATTACTGAATTTTAAATAATAAGGTAGATGCGACTTACATGCGTACTTACGTTCGCGCGCGCGACAAATTGCTTTCACCGGGTTCAGAAATCACGGAGGGCTTAACCGAATTCCAAATACAAAATTTATTTCGGTGTCATTCACGTCGGTAACAATTACACGATCGGTCCACCGTACAACGCTTCAATGGTCGATGGAAATAAATTGGAACATACCCAAAACCGTTTGAAATGACGCGAAACTTGCTCGTGATCATGTTAATCTCACGGTCGTGAACGAGATCTAATTGAAATTACATGCCTTCAAATTATAATCCCAGTCTCGGCGTTTGCTTGCGTCTCGGTGTCGACGGGTCACGACCAGGAGTTGCCACGACTTGTCTAAAAGAAGAATACAAAGGAATGCCAGTTTTAGACAAAAATATCAATTAATCGAAAAAAATGCCATCTCCGAGCAATAAAAATTTCTGGCAATAGGGGAAGAACGGGAAACCGCGCAGAATTCTTTTCTACCATTTTCAACCTCTCATGCACCGTAACTTCTACTCGGATCCTCTATCACTCAAAAATGCTCGTGTCTCACGGATGCCAGATTTCTGGAAGGTCGTAGTTTAAAAGCAAGAAACGAATCATACCGAAAATCAGAGTAAAATTTCATGGAAGTTGCAACAAAACAAGAACAACTTATCGACCTTCGAGGAATCATTCCGGGAGTACAAAACCGTGATCCGATTCACGTCCGAAACAAAAAAAAAATTTCCCCGCGCAATGAAACACACCCTTGAACAACTACCGCTCGTCAGACGCAATCAAAAATTAACGCAACACGGGCAGGAACATCGATCCAGCACAAGAAATAACGCCGATAAGGCACGCGTAAAAAATCTTACGCGTGCTCGCAGCGTCAGAGAAAAATTAGAAGAGGTTGAAATTGCACAGACTTCCCCCAATCCCCCTTCGTTTCCGCAACCGCACAAAGGAATCAGCCAAAAAATAAAAATACTGTAATATTTACGCTCAAAACGAGGAATGAGGACTTACTTCCTTTTCATAGACTCCTGTGAAGCTCTCTCAGATTCCTCATACTTTCTCCGTTGCATTTCCACTTGAGCCATTTTCATTTCCTCCTCCATTGTAGTGATATGTTGAGCCGTGTCCTTATGAGTAGCGCGTCGAGAAGCACCGGTTTCCTTAACAGAGAAGAACATCGGACCTAGTTCGGCCAACCAGTGTCCATCAACGGCAGTTACGCACTGCATGTATTCCTATTCAGGCAAAGAAAATACGGAAGTCAAAATGATTTTTATGAAGAACACCAGGAAGAGAAAATCATTACTGCCCGAAGAATATTTACAGATAACTGAGGCAAACGCTCAAGTACAACGCGCCATAAACAGCTGGACATACAATCCCAAAGCAAATATCCTTCCATGGAATGCGATTTCCGCCCGGCTACTATGTCAATGCAATCGAAAAACCCACATTTTTCTTTGCCGGAATGATTCAGCCTTGAGAAACTCAAAAAATCGCGATTCGTTTCCGCCGATAAAGTTGCGAGATTCAAGGATGAACCACGAAAATGAGACGGTTCTCATAACTTCTTTTAATGCCCGGAAATATTGTCAGGATGTATTCTCCGATCCATGGGGAAAAGTACAGAGATGAAAAATTCTGGTCTGATTTCAAAATCGCAATCCAGTTTTGTAGAAACCATGGTTGCCAAGAGGCTGGATTTCCAAACAAGGCTGCAACTGTTCGTGCTCTGAAACCCAGCACAATTTATTGATCCAAGCTCTTAGGTGCTACATCAATATGCCAACTCAACTGGTTCACAATTAAAATACTGTAATATAATCACCTACGAGGAAAAATTTCCGGAAAAGGGCTCACGGCAAGGGTCTCAGAAATTTCGAAAGTTGAAAATATTGTCATCGGATGCAACTAGAGTTACTAAACAGTAAGCTTTCGCACGATTTAGCATCAAAAACTATCCAAGGGAACTAACATGCAGAATTTTGAGTTTTTGACAGACATGCACCCCAAGAAATCTAAAAAAAAAAATTCTCAACAGAACTTCTCTAAGCGCACGGGACCAATCAGCGAATCCAATGTTTTTCTGGCCCAACGGATTTTTCCTATTTTTGTAAATGAATAATAACTTCTCGAGAAGGGTATGTACGTATGGGATGTGCACACTCCGCACAAAAAAAAATTTGACGGTGAATCGTTTTTTGAGGAATCCCCCCACACAGGTTACAGACGGCGATTGAAGATGAATACATTTCATGAATATAAACGATTATATTCTTCGATCCCAACAGAATTACTTAACGGAATGATGATGCCAAAAAAGTACAACTTACCTTTGAAGTCATCACAAGCTCATGGTAGACGATGTAGTCCGGAGTGTAGCCCATTCCGAAAAGCGCAGAAGTGGGATGCAGATGACACGGCATACCTGTACGTAAATTGACGTACTCCCCGAGGCCCTTCAATCTTGCTGCTTGGTGGAAATACGCCGAACAAATGCATTTGCGAACTACATCCCAATCCGAACCACACGACGTGATCGTCATCTTATTGGAATCCATGATGTCCTTGAGCTGCCCATGCACTTCTCGTACTTTCTTCATCGCTTTCGCGTGAATGAAGTGCTCGTTGCACCAGGACGAGGAGTACCTGCAAGTTTGCAACAAAGCTGTCAGCAATAAAGCGGATTTCACGAGCTACAGATAGACCTCTTCTCAATTGTGACATTATGGAGTTATTCGCGGTAAGATTAAAAAAAAAGCCAAAAAAAAGCGCTACGACGAAGTTCAATTCAATTTTGAAGACCAATCGACATTATTTCGACGAAACGATCAACTCACTTATTCAATTTCCATTGTGTGTAAGTATTCAGGTACGTGAGGTGGTCAGACTCCGGAACTTGGAACTTTTCTCGAGCCGCGTCCGAATCCTCTTCTCGGCCTTTAGGTCGGAAGAAAATCGCCGGCACGGAAAGCATCGAAACTAGATCCAGAATGTACAATGGTCAAACTGTTCTCGGAACACTGCGTTCACGAAAAAATTCAGAAGAAACTTACCTATTATGAGAATTTCGCTCGAGCACTTCATTTCACACGACACGATCAGCATTTTGGATAAAGCCGGATCCAACGGAAACTCGACCATTTTCCTCCCTTGCTCTGTTAAACCTCCGGTATTGTCCAATGCACCGAGAATCCAGAGTTGATACATGGAGTTGAGCATATTGTCCTATAGATGAATCCGAATAAGACCGACTTTCCCAGAGAAACTCAGTTGAGCTAATAAAATATTCTGTTGCGCACCTCAGGTGGTGGATCCATGAAATGAAACTGCAATAAATCCTGTACCCCCAAGGATTTGAGCAGGAGTACGACGTTTGCCAAATTTGTTCTCTGAATTTCGGGTACTGAGGCTACGAGCAATTCCTCCTTGAATTGCCTTTCTGTATACAATCTAAGCGGAGCAAAAGAAGCGAAGTTAAACAAAGCTAAGTGATGATTAATCAGAAACGTGAGAATGACTTACCGATAACAGTGCCCTGGACCAGTTCTGCCGGCTCGCCCAGATCTCTGATTCGCATTAGCTTGCGAAATTGGAAATATTTGCAGAGCATCCATACCAACGCGGGGATTGAAAACTTTCAACTTGCAATAACCCGCATCAATGACGAAAAAAATGCCGTCAACTGTAATTGAAAAATTAAGAGGTTCTCAAGCGCTACTCCGGCGTACGAAACACATTTCAACGTCTCGAACGAAACAACATTCATGATAGAATACAGTATTGTACTCGAGGATGTTAAGAACGACACTGAGCATCGGAAAATGTTTGTTTTTCTGTGCATTAAATTTCTAATGAAACGGGCGGAGAATAAAGATGAATCAATAGAATGAATTAAGAAGGTAAGAAGCATTAAATGAAAAAATCAGTGCAAATAAATTGCTTTCATGTCTAAAAGTTTCACCAGGAACCCTGTCAACTTTTGTTTGGTATACAGTACTAGAAAAGCTCATGCGTTGAAACGAACATACAGGAACCAAGATAAAGATGAACAATGAGACGAATAAAAATAAAATCAAAATTTAGCCTTCACTACCACTCGAATCCAACTCAATCCCGGGATGGTATCGCAAAACGTTATACAGTAATAAATCAACATGTAACCTATACGGTACGTTCAAAATGCCCCTTCACAAAGAAAATTTTTGAATACATCACATTTACGACGTAATCAATTATTCTGAAAACTCAAGCAGGATTAAGTTGCAGCAACCAGAGAGCAAAATAACCAGCGTGAGAGAGCTGAAAATGATTTTCTTAAACCTCACCAGTCAATGAAGTTTCGGCAATATTCGTAGCAACAATGCATTTTCGTAAATCCCCAGGTGCTCTCTGAAAGATTTTAGCTTGAAGATCGGAGGGTAGTTGCGAATATATAGGCAAGACTGCCAGTCCAGGAGGTCCTGCCTGTTTTTCTTTAGATTCTTTCTGCTTAACGTCTAATTGTTCTAGGCGTTCCTGGATCTGCTCGCACGTAACTTCAATGTCTTCTTGACCAGGCATAAAAATTAGAACATCTCCTGCAGAAAGCAAGAAAAAGTTTATTTCAGCATAATATTGCAGAAAAAAATATTGAGACTACTGTATCGTATCGAGAAACTCACCTTCAACTGGTCCCAGATGTATCTGTATAGCCTGTTTCACGGCTGCGTCGACATAATCTTCAACAGAATTTTTGCTGAAGAATAGTTCGACCGGAAATGTTCGACCAGGAATATGAAACACAGGAACATTTCCAAAAAAGGTGGAGAACTTCGTGGAATCCATCGTAGCGGAAGTGACAATCAACTTCAAATCGTGCCGACGACGGACAATCTAGTGTGAAGAAAAATTACGCACGAAGAAACCGTGAATTCGCAGAAACGCTCCCAGGCTTGTTAACCAATCGCATTCACAGCAAAGATGAAGATATTTTGAATTTCAAAGAAAAATCCAACAGTTAATATTCTTAAAAAAAGAAAGTTCATTATTTCGCTCACCTCTCTCAGAAGACCAAAAAGAACATCCGTGTTCAGGGAACGCTCGTGCGCTTCATCCATAATTACGGCAGAATAGTTGTCTAAATCAGACTCTCTGAGGGATTCTCGGAGAAGAATACCATCCGTCATGTACTTGATAATTGTTTTCTGAATCGCAGAAGGAAGAGTATCGAAATGAAGATTCAGTTGTGAATTAAGAATCGATGCGAAAGGACAGTTTCGCGCGTCCCAGAACAGCGCGAGCCAAGAACTGCAAAAATACAGAACACGAGCTGTGCATCAAAGATTACAAAAGCTCTAGCAGTCAGAAAGAATGTACAGTAAAAAAAAATGGTTAGGCCAATCACACACACATTTTTTCGAACGAAGTACAGTATCTCGACAAGGAAATTGAATACTGTATCAGTACCACACCTCTTAGTGACTGAGCTAAATACTGTAGGTCAGATAATGAATGACTCGAGCATTATATAATTTTTCCACAATAAACTCGGGTTATTGGATATTGCCCCACGCATTCGATAAGGGACTGCAGGAAATTGATGGTCCAAGAAAATAAGACGTTTCACTAAGGATTGCTGTTCGTAACTGATCTTTCAGGTGCGTAATAGCTTTTTCATACATTTCTGATTCGGGGTTTACTCTTGTCTTCAAGAATTGTTTTCCTTACATTTTTTGTCCTTTTTATTTTTGTTACAATCGACTGTAATTTTCAGTGAATTATCAAAACATTTGTGACGGAAATTTCCGAGAAATCTGAAAGGCAATAGCCATTACACATAGCTTTAAAATACCTGGTTTGAGGACTAACGTATTTAAGGTCTGGAAGCAATCTTCCATTTCATACGGATGACATAATTCATAGGATAGAAATATAGGATCGTAGAATATATTCAACGATAAACCACTGCATAATTTCGAGCGCATTTCGTTAATTCACTCGATACTTTTCTTACATATCTGCTCGAGTCGCTCTTCAATTGGACTGTTTTTCTTTATAAATACAGTGTACATAGTTTTTCCTCATTTTGAGGACAAGCGTTGTTTCGGGACTCGCTCAGCTGCAACGGAACTAAAATCGAAGCCTCACCTCGCTCGTGCAATCCTCAAAACGTATAGCGTAACCAACTTCATCACCCAGTTTACAGGCCATTTCATCTGAAACACGCTTGGCGACGGACATGGCCGCCACACGACGCGGCTGCGTACAACCGACCATACCAAATTTAGTATACCCGTCTTCGTGCAAATACTGCGTAAGCTGCGTCGTTTTCCCGCTCCCCGTTTCTCCAACAACGATTACGACACTGTTGTCTCGTATTACGTTCAAAAGTTGATCTCGAACAGCAAACACGGGCAAATACTGTCTCTGTTCCTTCAAAGTTCGTTTCTTGGCAAAGTCGCTCACGGCCTCGCCAGTATCTTTCATATGCTCCGCGAACTTCTGATCCGTTTTGTAGTCCTCGTCATCACTGCTGCTTTCGTCGCGTTTAGAACGACGAGATTCTTTCCCATTATTACCGTCTTCCTCGGTTCGCTTTTTATGCCGTTCCTCCTTCTTAACTTTTCGTTCGAGGTCTTCTTCTTCTCGTTTAGATTTAATGCCCATGATTTTGCCCAGCTTAGTTCCGGCGAGTTCCCAGTGTTTCTCTTGAGCTTTGCGTCGTTCTTTCTGTTCTCGGTGGGCTCGTACAAGTGCGCTTCCTTTCCGTGAAACTTGAGCCATGTCCGACGTTGGGTCCTTCGATCGATACAACAAATTTAAAATAAAACAAACTTGGATAATGTCGAAACGTGAATTGAAACGATGGAATTGCACTCACCCGAATCGGAACAATGGGCTCAGGCTGCTTCGTGAACACAATGCGACCGTCAAGGAAAGGAGGAACAATATTTCTGACGAGTAGATGAACTCGGGCTTCGCCCTCATCGTCGTCAATTTCTTCATCATTGCCAGTTGAAGACACAACGCCCGAACGCAACATCCTGTTCGTCTCCCATCTATCGATGTCTTTGTTGATTTGCCTTTGTTTCGCATTCATTCGCTTTCGATTCTGCGCAGCTGGGCGATTCGCGAGCTGTTTCTCCCTCTTTTCGGTGTATTCTCGAGAGACATCCGCAAAAGGATTTCTCGTCTCATCGTAACCTTCGTCCATCGAGTACCAATCTCGGTCCAACTTGACTTGCTCTTCCTCCCAAACTGCCTTTTCTTCCTCTGACCGCCAAAGATCACCATCTAGTACACAATAAAAGACGCATAGTATAAGACATTTGACTTTGAACAATGAATCACGGTATTTGTTGCGCCGAACAGATGTTGGCGGTAATACGTCGTGAATAGAGTACTTCATGGGGTGAATTTTCGTCAACATTTATAAAAAATATACTAAACTTATTTTGTGCACTGCACTCTGAAAAATCAATGAAAAAGCGAAAAATACGGACAGCAACTTAATTATCGTGGTCACAGTAAAAGCGCCATAAAAAAATTTTATACAATCCCGAGCACCACGAGTACCCGGACTGAAAATTCTTGAAAAAAAAAGAAGAAACCTTTAATAAATACCTTTATTGAGAAAAGGTGTCGCACCGCTTTTCTTCCTATCAGGCATCCATTGATTGTACTTGTAGCTCGGTGTGGGTAGCGGACTTCCATTCCGGGATCTGCAATAAAATCGATTTGACGTTCAACGCATTCATGACATTGGACAGCGACTTTTTACCTGGGGACATCACGTCGGTCACGCTCGGAACGTATGGACCAATCCGTGCGATTACTTTTACTGCCGTATTCTGATGGAGTGGTGGATCTACTGACCAGCGGCGACGGATAGTCCCAACTAGATTTTGATGCTTCCTTCGGTTTATCGGCATCATCTTCGTCCCAGGAAGTTCTGAATACGAGATAATAATTAAGTGACGACAGAGTTAAATTTGAAAAATGAACAGAAGTAGGGAATGTACATGGTGATTAACGCGCTAATAAACGGCAAGAACGTGAAAATTTCGAGACACTTCGAACAAGTGTGGACAATACGAAAGCTGGGAAAACAATCCGGGCATCATTCGAATAACCACGCGATTTTTGCCTATTTAGGACAATAATTTATCACCAGAGTAAGAGAATGGCAGGACATCAGTGGCATCCTCACTAGGGTTTATCGCTCGCCAAAATGAGAAATATGAGGGGGAATTGGGAACTCCTCGGGGGAACGAATTCTATCATAAGTCGCACGAAAATTGAAGGCCACGAATGCAGCAAAGGCCACTAATTGTGTTTTTCCTTTCCGAAGTCCCCAATGCTTTTGGGTGGTGCCAGGATTACCCATCTTTCATCAATAGACACAATTCAGTAAGGTCGAATAGCGTGTGAATCAGCCGAAACAAAATTGACCGATGAGTTCGTGCAATGCGATATTGTCTCATGGAGATGATCAAGAAAGTCAACCTACTTGGCCATATCACTTTTGTAACCAAGATCGGGGGTTGGCGCGTCTCGATAACGAGGCGTCGCTCCATCGTCACGCTCTGATTTGTCTCGTCGATCACTCCTGCCGGCAGAATTTTCCCGATTTCGCTCCCTGTCTCGACTTCCGTTCCGTCTTTCTCTGTCATCTCTACCCCTGCGTTCATCACGGCGATCCCGATCGTCTCTCCTGCGTCCGTTATCGTGATTATACCTTACATCGTCATCTACGAGAATAACAAATGCACTGATATTGGACACACGGAAGCGGATTTTTTCAATAAATGTCGTACCACGACGTTTTTTGGCGATAGAGGAAAAGTGTGCTCCACGATCTCGGTCGCGCTTTCTGCGCTCGTCCAATCGTCTTTGGGCTTCCTCTGAAACTCCACCAGTGTGAGAAGGAGTTTCTTCCAAACTGGAACGATAATGCCTGCAATAAAAGTGAGACCAAATCCGAAAAAATAATTTACCCTTAGAAGATGCAACACACCAATCTACATCCAGATGAACCCCGATTTAAAGGTTCACAGGATGAATTGCCCATCACGAACCTCCCGCGTTCCTTTTCTTCTACTTCAGCTCGTCCAGGGGTTTCCTTGGCTTCTTTTTCCGCGTGAGTTTTTTTCTCCACTGAAATGCATTAAAATTTTTTTTGACGAATCGAAGCAGAATGCTATTTACAGAGAAAGCAATCCCATTTCCATAGCAGACAAAGATTCGTCACTTTACTTCTTGAACAATTACATTATTACCGGTATTGCTACAGCCGAACATTCGATACAAAAATCCACTGTAGTATAAACGTCTCAAAAACTCACAGGCGAGCTTATCCAGACCCAGCAAAGATGCACGAATTGGAGGTTTTTTAAACGTCATTTCATCACTGCCTTCCGCATCTCCTTTCTTCTTCCTGATTATCAAGCCTCCCACACCTCCGGACGTTCCTTCAAGACGATGAACATTTTCAGTCATTTTCACGAAAAAAAAAATCGAACTCCTGTAAGCAAAAGAAATATTGTATTGACATTTCAATACAGTTGCAACATAAAGGAAGTAAGAAAAAAAAAGTCAGTGTATTGTGCCCGGAAGTCAGTGAAAATCTCCCTCATATGTACGTACAGTACTTTCGAAAAAAAAAAAACAATCATTGCCGAACACAAGAATCATAAAAGCGAAAAGACTCGTGAGAGCTGCTGCTTTAAACACACTATCAAAAAGCGGAATAATGATCTAGTCGCAAATCACAGTAGGACTCAGTCGTTTTTGCAACATTTTTGGACTGTTATTCTTCAGCGTCTGCTTCTTCAACGACAAATGGCGTGGGAACTTTTTCGCTTCCACTGCTATCAATCTTCACGGTCGACGTCGGCTTATCCCCTCTGCCAGTTTTAGTGGCTTCAATCTTCCTCACAACATCCTGAAAATATTGTATGAAGAAAACAATCGCTCTTTTTCAGAAACATCACATTTTACGATTTGTGAGAAAAAAAGTTTTCGATACAATAAACGGAAAAAAAAATGCAACGCGATGAGACCACAGCGTTATTCAAATTCCTGAAACACTCAAGGGCAGCTACACAAACTGACACGGAAAATAAGTTTCAACGAAGGTCAAGAACAAGAAAAAAAATGCTACGTGGAACATACTTGCCGTGCCAAAAAATGTTCATCAATCAGTTGATGACAACTGTTTGTAACTTTCCGTTACTTTTCAACATAATTTCCGTATACGGACTTCTAATTGGATCGGATGGATTCCAAGAACCAAAACACATCTGAAAATGCTTTTTCTTTATTCATTAAAAACACGTCGGTAAAAAAGATTTCCGATTGGCAGGACAAAGATCAACGAAAGGTTGATTGAGTCAGAACGGAAGACTTCAATGACATTGACGAATAGCTTATCAGAACGCTTCAACATACGGAACTTAACGATAAGCAACCTGACTCACCATTCCTTTAATGACTTTTCCAAAAACGACATGCTTCCCATCCAACCAAGAGGTGGGTTTCGTCGTAATGAAAAACTGCGAGCCGTTTGTGTCCGGACCAGCGTTCGCCATGGACAGCCAACCCGCACCATAGTGTTTCAAATCGAAATTTTCGTCCTCGAATTTTTCTCCATAAATGCTTCTGCCTCCGGTTCCATCACCTCTTGTGAAGTCCCCGCCTTGAATCATGAAGTCTTTAATAACTCGGTGGAATGTGGAGCCCGCATAACCTTCGCCCACGGGTTTCTCCGCCAGTTCGCGGAAATTGCGGACAGTCTTCGGCACTTGATCCCCGAACAGACCGATCTCGATACGTCCAATGGAAGTGCCACCAATTGATACATCAAACCATACCTACGAAAAGGTCCATGATTGCAACGACTCAAATAAAATGAAAAAAAGAAGCTAAAAGAAATTGATAATTACGTCAACAATCGTCAAAAAATGCGCATCCAAAATATGAATCTGAGGCATTAAGTTGGACAACTCTCGGGATAAAATGGAATTACCTTACATTTCTCGGTTTCGTCAACATGATACAGTACCTCGGATAGTTCTGGAGACAAAACAGTTTAAATATTCATTTAATTTTTTGGTCCACCATGTAATTTCATGAACATTTATTGACTATCCGGCGCCATCAAATCACATCTTCCATACCTTATCGGTGACCTTTGGGCCTTTGGCTTCCACGCTTAAGAAGGAGAGCGCGACCAACGCGCCGGTCACAGCAGCAAGACCAAGCACGGCCATTATTATCAGCACTCGCCAATACCCGAATCGTCGCCCTCTGGAAGACAAGCGCCCATTTGAGGAATATGGTACGTGGTCTTCATGAGCATCATCCATTTTCATAATTAATATTGCACTCGATATTTCCCTGGACAGCCGCCCTTTTGAAATCCAAGGTTATTCACTTGAAAAAATCGATGACACGTTTACATATGGAATAAATCTTGTCTTCCGGTTGTACTATTGAAATATTTATCGCACTTGACACCTAGCACATCTCGAGAGCACCGCGCAAATCTGCGGAGATAAACAAACTTTAATCACACGAAGAAGTGAGAGGGAACACATCAGAAATATGCACATTGCGTCGATTCTGTTCCAAAATAATCATCCAGAAAGTAATGCAATGAACTGCGCAAATTTAAACGGTACCGGTGTCTTTTTCGAATAAGAAAGACTCCAAATAAAGAACAAAAATCCAAACCCACTCAAACACAAATAAATTCCAGAATTCATCAGAAGATCACAACAACTCAGAACGCTTGCGAGCAGAAGCTAGGGAATGGAAGAACATGAGGTTCATTTCTTCTTTTTGGGCTTCTTTGCTTCATTGGAATTGGGAGTAGCCGCTTGCGTTTCATAATCGACAGGTTTTTGCCAGTTCAGAGGTTTCAGTCGATACATCGGCCATGGCGGCAGAACAAGCTGAAAATTTTCCAACGTTGTATCACAAAAAATCTGAAAAATCTCGATGATCTCACCGCAGCCGCAAGTGCGAAGCCAGCTCCCAAAATATATACCGTCTGAGAGAACTGTTGAATCGCATATCCCCATATCAATCCAACGGCCTTAACGAAAAATAAATAGCCATAAAGTAAAAAACCCAACAAAATTAAATAAGCTACGATCAAGAATAGCAGGCGGATGCACAACTCACCCCGAATAAAATAACTATCACGTGGAAAAGACGTTCGGCTCTTCTTTGTCCATCATAATCCTGGATGAAATAAAAATTGGTAGATATTACACGTCATATTAGATGATACATCAACGAAACTCACAAGATATGTTGGAAACATCTGTTCAAGCTTCTCGCCGATGTACGCCATTCTTCTTCTTCAATAAAGGAACAGTCCAGGGAAAATTCGCCGTAAAAGATCTCAACACATTAACTGAAAGAACAGTTTCAGAATTATCCATTGGAAAGCAACACAAATGATAGATGAGCCGAAAATCACCAGATACGCAACAAGAATTCATTCAAAGTCCAAAAAGGAACAGAACGGTACAAAGAATCAACTCATGAAACACGAAAGAATGCCGTTGACGAAAGCTCGAATCCGGCATTTCCTCATCAGGAAAATCAGTTCATTGGCGGCGGTGGTGGCGGACGCGTTGGCCACTGAGGCATTCCTCCAGGATACCCAGGCATTTGAGATGGATCTCCACCGGGATAACCACTCGGTGGATATTGGGGAGCTGGACCACCCCACCCTCGAAGACCAGGAGGTGGAGGCGGTGGTGGTCTTAGAGCTCCTAATCAAGTATGAAAGAAAATTAGAACATTTTCAATCGGGCGATACGTCAATTTCTACAAAGCATATATTTCTCGGACGGACAATAAAGCACAAAAATTAATACTGTACATCATTCAAATAATCAAGTCAGTTAATGTACTTCAATCTCTCTATACTTCTCCTAAACTCCGTCAGGAATGCAGAGGCCGAACTTCAATGGGCTACGAAAAATTCCATTCAGGGGCGTTTAGAATTCCGAGAACACAAACTTTTGTTGGGGAGAAAGAAAATTTTTTTTAAGGAAATTTTAAGTTGATGTTACAGACATTCAATGGATTCTTAAATGAGTTTAAATTTAAACTCTTTATAAGATCCTGGACTTGGAGGCATGGCTTCATTTGTCCGATTAGTCATTCACATCCTTTCAACATTCTCTTACCTGCGTCATTAAAATACTGTACTATAATAACCAAAAGGCTTTCAGAAAATTCGAGCTATGGAGGTTTGAGGAGGAAACCAAAATTAGGGAAGTTTTTCATGTAATGATTCTACGGGAATCCAGACAGGGACTTGAAAAAAAATCTACACAGAGGTATTCGACTTGGGGAGTTCGAGTTATCGAGGTTCAACTGCAATGAGATCAGCGGCAGCCCTTCAAGGCAGCAGGTTCAGTGCATTAATTGAAAATCTGGAGTTAAATACAAAAACTGCTCTACAGTTAACATTTTTAGAACCGAGAACCCTTCCTCAAGTTGATATACTTTCCATAACCCTCTAATCAATTTTACGAATCATGAACTAATACATCGAAATTCAAAAATAATAACTGACCTGGCGGAGGACCAGGTGGCGGAGGGCGCGCACCTTGGGTGTTCCACGGCATCTGTCCGGGAATACTAGGCGGTGGCGGCGGTGGAGGCAGCGGTTGTCCAGCTGGTTTTCCCGGAGGTGGCGGCGGATACCCCGTCATGCCAGTTTGGACAACAGGAGGAGGAGGCGGAGGCATGTAACTCGGAGGATAATAACTTGCACCACTCGCAGCTGCAGGGGGCATACCCGGTGGCAATGGAGGTCTGTAACCCATAGCTGGACCTCCCATGCCTCCCGGGGGCATGCCTGGTGGTAGCGGCGGCGGCGCCATCGGAGCAGCCTGCATCATTCTAGACGAAGATGACTGCATCATTTGTTGAACATGTTGCGGAGGTGGTGCGTCCGCAAAAAGCTGATGCGGACGGTCAGCTTGAGATAGGGGATTTTGGGCAGCTAGAAGACGTTCAGCTGCTGAGCCGTGACGTTCCCCTTTGGCATCTTTCTTGAAGGCGTAACTGATGGCGATAGGGCGGTTACAAAGATATTGCCCATTCATTGCTTCCAGGGCGGCATCTGATGCTTCGAAACTCGCGAAGTTGATGAAAGCAAACCCTTTTGAATTACCGGACTCCGGATCCCTCATGATCTGAAAAGGGCAGAAATTGTGAAGACGGGAATGAACGAATATTTTATCACGATCAGACAGATGCAGAACCTTGAATTAAAAATTATATCTTAGTGTATCTAGTGATGTAAAAAACGTTAATACAGCACTGCACATTACGGTATCCAATTCTTCCAGTGACGCCTTCCTAACATCGAGAACAACGAACAAATTTAATCGTTACTTCTGAGCATCAAGTTGGAACTTGGACTTATTGGCGAAGCTGTAATTTTAAATGAGGAAGGCATAAGAAAAAACTCTTACTTTGGGTGTTTGTAGAATGACACCAAACGCGGAAAAAGTATCGTACAGAAGTTTTTCATCAACTTCAGGATCCAAGTTGCCAATGAACAAATTCGCACCGACGTCGAGGTTCTTCTGATGTGCTGATGCCTGCATTGAAGTAGACCAACGTAGACTTCGTAGCAATTCAACAGAGAAACGGATAATTTCCTTACCTTGTTCACTCTGACAGGCTTCCCAAATAACTTGATCATATTCATGATCTTAATCGCGTAATCCGCATCTTCTTCGCCGAGAAATTCCACGAATCCATACCCTTGATGCAACTGTGAAATTCTGTCTTTCGGCATGTGAACATTAACTGCAAAGATAGCCATCTCGTCAATGGTCGGTCAGGCGCAAAATAATAAAAAATACCGATATCCATGTACGCACCAACTGGACCAGCTTGAACAAATAGTTCCCACAGCGTTGACTCGGCCACTTTTTCATCCAATCCACCAACGTAGATCGTTGCATCTGCAATACAGTATCGCGAATTTTTTTTTTCAGATATCCATGCAACACCAATTAACGTCAGTGATAGCCAACCTTGATTTCTTTCGGTGATTGGCCCGGCAGCCATCGCAGATATCGCCGATGATACGAACTTCGCTCACCGACACGAACAAGGAAATTTGGAGTGAGCGACGCTAATATACTTCGCTCACTGCTATACTAAAGGCTTTCAATCACCCGTCTTTAGACTCACGAACACCTCGCCGGCCGGAGAATTTCTCATCGGCGTATTGGTAAACGTCACTACTCGACACTCTTCGCGGAATGCTCTGAAATTGTTTCGAAGCAAAGGAAGCGAAGTCGCATCGGTATTCAAAAAGGTGGGAAACTTGACATTTCAGTTGTCGCATGTTAGGTTCGTACTGCGCGCGCTTCCGAGGGTGTGGAGATCATCGAGGATGCTAACTATGGCAAGATGTCTGTCCCAATAGTTCCTTGCTGCAGGATATAAACAAAACACCGTGCCGTACGCCAATTGAGGAAAATTGTATGAGTTTTACGTATCGCTCAGAGATTGCGTGTAGAATTCCGCTACTGTATTCGGTAACTTTGAATTATATTCCGACCCTGGGGTATTGGAGAATATCTCCTGAATTATCCTGCGCTTGGTTTGAATAGAATCAGGTGGTCGGAGTGCTGCAGTCGCTTGAATCAATGTCCGACGAAGTTTCGAGAAATGTTAGCCAAAGCGTTCAATGGATGAAATATTTTACTCTGTGTTTTTCCCCCTCGTTAAATCGCCCTAGCTGAGGGCCACGTCTACCATGGTCTCGATTATGGAATCAACGTTTGATTTCATATATTGCAGGACCACAGCTTTCTGTTCATGGTGTCCCGATATGGGCCTCTGACGAGAGGCCTTAGTGGTCCCACGGCCGTGATGAATTCTCAACGGTCGTCGAGGAGATTGTCATGCAATCCTCGATGTTGTGTACGATGACAGAGAAGGAAATGATCGGCGGATGTTGCGTGTGTTCTGATGACCAAGGTTACAAGGACAATCCTTTAGTTTACTGTGACGGAGACGGTTGTAGTGTTGCAGTTCATCAAGGTAATCCTACCTTGCCAAATGCTCCTGGACTCTTACTCATTCCTATTTCTTGGTGATTTTCGTCCGCAGCTTGTTACGGAATCGTGAGCGTCCCCAAGGGTGACTGGTATTGCAGCAAGTGTCAGTCTACTGAGCGAACCGTTAGAGTGGTAAGTACTCAAAAGGCTCATCTCGCAGAATAGTGTAGAGCTTCCGTAGAGCGCCTGAGTTTATTTCCCTATGACGATTCCCAGGCCTCGACATCACCGAATTCGAAGCAGCGTATACCGAAGTTCTCCATTGTTAAAGATGTGGTGCAGTATACTTTTTCTGATCACGTACTGCTAAGTAAAATCGGTCCCTTTTCACTAACCTCAGAAACGGGATTTGACATCGGTGAATTGAACTTCGTACCTGTTTTTGATATTTTCGCGTTGCGTAGCTCCGGTGTGGGTTTGAATCTTTCAATGTTCATATCGTAGGGATTTTGGGAAATCGGGTGTCATTCCATGGTATGCGTGTTATTGTGAAATTTAATGACGTTGCTCTTCGATTGCAGCGCTGCGAATTGTGTCCATCGAAGGAAGGAGCATTTAAAAAAGCCGACAATGGTGGTTGGGCGCACGTCGTTTGTGCCTTATACATTCCGGAAGTCACATTCCAAGATGTCACAACGATGGAGCTCATTCTATTGAAGAACGTGCCTGGGGATCGCTTTAAAAGGGTTATTGTTTTAATTCATTCGTATTCCAACGCCGTGTTGCAAAATTCTGTTCTCGTTTCATTTTAGACGTGCTTTGTTTGTTTGGAGGCTAATCAGCCAGCGAATGCTGCGTCTGGGGCGTGCATGACCTGCAAGAAAAGTGGATGCAAGCTTGCGTTTCACGTGACGTGTGGTCAGTCGCAAGGGTTATTGTGTGAAGAAGCTGGGTTAGATGAGAATAACGTCACATATTGTGGCTATTGTCCATCTCACTATAAACGAATGGTGAAGCATGTAATTTTTATTTTTCATTTGTTCTTAGAATGTGTTATGAACTGTATTCACGTTCTGCAGAGGAAGGAAGCGAACATGAAGCCTGTTCCTGCTTATAAACCATTGCTCAAGGGGCCCCTGAACGGAGGGGCAAATGCAAATCCAGCGGAAGCTCTTCGCTGTGGAAGTGCTGACGGTTCGGTCCTACCGGGAAATGTTAGTGACTCGAGTTCTACGAGCGGAGAAAATCTTAAAACCTTGAAGCAGAAATCGTCGAGTGATGTGAAAGGGAAGAATTGTGACGAAAAGAGAATGGGGAGGAGGCAACGATCCGCTTCTGGTCGTTCCTCCGCTTCACCCGTCGCAGCTGTTCCGAACTGCTCGACTCAAAGTAATGGGAATTCCGCATCGCTTGGGGTCCGTCCAGCTGCTACAAATCCCCGCGAAGCATGTAGTGAGAAAGCTATGAGTGGTCCAAGTGACAATTGTTCAAACTTTCCGGCGGGCGTGGAAGTGAAAAAAGAACGCTGTGCGAGTGAAGCGTCGGATGAACCCGCGCGTTGTGTCTCTGGAATTGTTGGCGTTAATGGGAAAGAAAGATCTGACCATTCGCTCAGTACTAGTGCGTCTTCGAACCCTGTGTCGGCTGCCTCGTCTGGTACCCATGAGCATGTACTTGATAAGGCGGAAGAAAACGGGTTATCTGATTCTCGTGATGCTGACGATTCCATGTCCTGTCCAGTGCCTTCACCCCCTGCGCCGAATTATAATGACCTCTCATCGCTTGTTGTACCGAAAAGTGGCAAAGGTCATAAGCGTTTGGGTGGAGACTCGGGAGGCAAGCGTCTGAAACGACTAAAGAAAACTGGCAGGTGAGATTCTTTGATTCCTTTTTCAAAGCTGCGAAGAAATGTATCAGAAGTGCTGAGTTCGTTGAAATCTCTGATTCGTTCTCTCCTAATATTTTTCTTTCCTAATTTGTCCCGAAAAAAGTGGTCTTAAACAATTTTTTGCCACTGGAGAAACCAACCAACTCTTGAATAAGGTGGAAAATCAGACCTTAATTCAAACTCGATCACGTTGACTGCTATTGCCGTGTATGTTAACTGAGTCCTTCGTTACCTTTTAGAAGATCATATAGTCGAAGTTCTTCTGTCAAGTCGTCCGATTCTCGACGAAATCGTGATGAACCCATGGAATTTCAAGATGATGAGGAGGAGGAGGACTCCGGAGAAGAGCCGCTCTCTGGATCTTACACGTCGAAAAGTGGCTTGATCCGGTGAGCTATGCGCATATTTCATTCTCAGAATTTCAAAACCTGATGTGATTCATCTAAATTTTAGTGGATTGAATGGAGTTACCGCGTCTCATATGCTGGGCAACGAGATCAACACAGGTGTTCAACACGTGCGAAAGATGGAGTCAGATGAAGATGATAGCCAATCTGCGTGTGACTTCTCAAACGTTCAGTTGAATGTGACGAAAATTTCGTTGCACAATCCAAGTTTCGACTGTACAACGAATGCGTGTCCTCCGAAAGAGGCGCGACCAGCTTCAAGCAATCCGTCGACTGCAGGGCCTGTGGGGAAAAGTTGGGAGCCTCTGAAGAAAAGTAGTTCATATTCAGCGGTTGAAGGCCATCGGTTGACTCACGAGGTGTCCATTAATCCTCGACACCAAGTTAAGAGCAGCGATTCCGATAATGCCAAATTCGCACCGATCGCGACGAAGCCGCTTCATCCCATCCTCGACGTTTCTCATCCCAACCGGCCGTCTACATCCGTTTCTACGGAAGAGGTACGCGATTTTCTTCGGGATTCGTATTATTTGTGATAGGTTCCCGAGTTTCTGCTTTAAATCTAAATTCTTCAATTTTTTGATCAAGTATTTCACTAAACTATTTTCTGAACCGTGAATGATGGCATATTTCAGATTTTTTGTTCGAGAAGCCCGTTTTGTCATTATTACCTTACTTTCTTTGTCGCAGTCTCCTAGGCCCAGGCGAATCCTGTGTCTCGCAAATTATTTGCCGAGTTCCTAAATTTACAGTCCCTGTTATGTGCGTTGTTAACTTCAAGGTATCAGCGGACCAGTCCTTGTCGCGGACACTTATTTTGCATTAGTTTTCTAACGATACCTGCAGTTCCCGGAGCTAAGGTGTAAACTTCTTCCATCGGCAAAATGCGTCGCATAATTTGCTGAATTCCTTATAAGTGGACATTTCAATTCAAGTGCATATCGGAGTGACGATGATCATGTGATATCGTTCCTCAGCGAGGAAATTCAATCCCGGGCACAAATTTATTTCCAGGCTACGCGTCACCTCCCTGATACCATCGACGATTTGTTCAGATCTGGGAAAGAAGCCCTGATGCATCTCGCGAGACAAGGTTCAACAGTGGACGTCGTGAAAGTTGTTGATGAGTGTATAAAATTGAAAAGCGAATACGACTCGATTCTTCACGAGATAGCGGATTTGACGGAAAGGAAGGATCAACTGGAATATGTAATCGAGCGACTGAACCCGGAAATCACGCAAGATTTGATTTCCTCTGCTTTCGCTCCTCAACCGAATTTCATGAATTCGGTTCCGACAACATCTCACCACGCACCTGCTCCTCCACGAATGCAACCGTCAATGTTGTCGAGTACCGCATCTCAGCAGATGCTCCTGTCCCGCACGTCTGGATTCAACCCAGACACACCCGCCCCGCCTATACCTCCGAAACGTAAGGCCCATGTCTTCTTTTTCCATGATTTGGAGCAGAAATATGCCGTCACCGCACTGACCGCAGATTTGCTTCTTGTAAATACGAAGTGTAACTTCACTTCGGTCTTCTGAAAATTATTGAAGTCTTCACACATTATTACATCTTTACGTTTATATGTTCTGACGAATTACGAAATATGAGCGTTTCCAAATACTTCCGTGTAAGATGCAAAATTTCTTGGGTGAAATGCACATGATTGCTGATGAATAAGTGAAGGGCTTTGCAAATATATCATTTTTTGGGGCTTGATCGGTATCCAAAGTTGAGAAAAAAGCCGTCTGGAATTTGATCAACTCTTACACGCAGCTTTAAAAATTTCTCGCAACCACAGGAGGAATCCAGAAGCGGAAGGTATCGTGTAAAAGAAAAGTACCTTACTCTACACTTGGACTGTTGTTTAAATATACTTGTGCCCATTTAATCTGTCGTCGCCGGGACTATAGCTCATGTAAATTCTGAATTTCGTACTCAGCAAGATCTACGTTGACATCCTCCTACATCACAGTATTGTTTGATATTTTGCGGAGATTGTTTGGTTATTTTTCTTCATGAATGTGTTTTCTTTCACAGTGTCATCTGGCAAAGAATTGAATTCCGGATCGTATGGAGAAATTTCCCCTGGTGGGTTGAGCGCATATCCCCAAAGCGCAAGGAAGCCGATGAGTTACTCGTCATCTGGCATGCCGCCTTCAGGTCCTGGTCAGGGAAATCGATTAGGCGGCGGTAGCGGAATACCCCCGCCGCACGGCTACCCCGTTGCCTCCCCGTCTATGATCATTGACGACACTTCCGTAATCGACTATCGCTCTGGTAGTACCGGTGGATTGAGCAAGCTGCCCGTGAGGGACTACCCCGACACTGTGCGACGAGTCGGATACTCGAGTAGCGATTATCGCTCTAGCCCATCGGCTCTGTTGCCCCCCAACCCATCGGCTCCAGTGAAACGTTCCACTATGCCTTACCGCGGCCCGGCCCCGCCGCCTCACCACGGCATGGTTCAAGACTTCGGCCCAAAATCAGGGCGAGATTTCACGGGTGTTGGCGGAGGTGGTGGTGTTGGACCTCCACCTGCGCACGTGAGTCCGGTTTCGCCTGCACCCGAACGACGTGACACGCACCGCGATCCTGGTTTGATGAATCAACGCGGAGGCCCCTTACCTTCGATGACTGTTCCGTCGTCTTCGTCGTCGTCTGGTGGCCCGCAACAGAGTGGGTACTATCACCAGATGCCGACCCACCCGCAGCAGCAGCCTCATCACCCGTCGATGTACCAGATGGTGTCCCCGACGCAGGGCTCGCATTCGCATTATCAGCAGCATTCTGGGGGCACGGGTTCAGCACCTTCTCCCGCTCCGGTGCCTCAGATCCATGGGCCTTCTGTTTCTGTTGCGTATTCTCAGGCGAGTTCAACGTTGAAATCTTTTTGTCGTCCTGTAGCATGTGGATAAAAGCGTCCGGTAAACATGGTGATTCATGCATTATCTGGCCCACAAAGAACGAGTATTTTTCGGGTTTTGAGTTTACTGTATTTCCGAAATTTTCGGCTCAGAAAGGTTAAAAAATGAGGGACTGGAAAAATTCTTGAAATCATTCGAAGAGTTTGTGCTGTTCTCATCCGAGAATGAAGGAGTATTCATCAGCCTCTTCAGAAATGACACCAATGTGATTTATTTAATCTAGCAGATAAAAAAGAAACTGATTGTTTCCAAGAAGTTTTTCTCCTCCCTACATTATATTTCCCATTGCGATTGGTATGGTAGTACAGTAATTGTTGGATTGAATGTGCTACAAATGGCCATGCATTTTTAAAATTCGACAAAATATTCACTGTTTTGTGGTTTTAGGAGCGCCTTATTCACACTGTTTCTGCATGAGTCCCTGAAGGAAAGTAGTGAAGTGTTGTTTTGCGCTTTCTTGCAAAAATTGATTTTTTTTACCATTCTTTCGCGAAACCGCTCTTTGTCTTGAGTACGATCAACTTCAAATTGCCTGTTTTGGAGAAAGTTCGTTACGAAAATGCGAAATTATAATTCGTAAAGCCTCATTTTCTACGGGAGGGCTTTCAAGATTTTTCCGGTTCACCCGCTGAAATTCTCGATCACAGTGCGCAAATTTGTTCATCAAAAGATATGCCAATTGTTTCTTATCGTAGCGCTTGCATGGAGTTTCTAACAGTCTATTTACTTGCAGGCCTACCATCCTGGAACGAGACCAATGCCATACCCGAAAGATAAAAGGTGATATTTGCTGGAAGTGGGTTCCGTCACGTGATCGTCGTCTCCCGTCTATAGCACTCTTCGGGGAAGAAAATGGAATTCTATTGGCTCACTTCTCGTGTCCGAGGATCAAACTCGGCGACTGAATTTTTGTTCCTTGTCTTTTTTTTAAACTTGAAATATGCTCACATGCTGTTGACCTTGGCTTACTTCCATTGTTCGTCCTCGCTATGGAAACGCGAAAATCAAAAGAGGGCAAATGCTAATTGCGTGGATATGAATGGAAAACTACTCTGCATTCGAAGGCATATTGATTGAAGAATCCTTTTAGATTATTTTTCTATTCGTCGTCAGTTCTTTCAAATTTTTTTTTCCTGTTCGCAAAGTTAGTTTTGTCTTAATGCTTAGCTTTGTTCAAGTTGCGTGCGTAAGAAACTACCCAGGGTTGATGAGTTTCACGTGATTACACTGGCAACATTGTTCTTTCCTTATTCTTGGAGAAAACTATTTTTTCATCGTTCCCACCTAAGCTCCATTTGATCTTCCCCGATCTTTGTATAATCTGCATTTTCTATATAGCATGGGGTTTTTGATAAACGTTGGATGTGCGTTTCGATGTGGAAAGTAGCGGAAAATTTGGTTGGATAAAAGGCAATGGAATTGTGGGAAACATTGGATTAACTCAGGTTCGTGTCGTGTTCTTGGTCGGGAAGCTAAACTTCGTTGACCGAAATTTATCCTTCATTGTGACTAGAGATTCTTCTGCTTTTTTGTCTCGTGTCTAAGTGGCCCGAAAGCTTGATCTCTGCTCTTGTCTGCTATTGCTTTGAGCGGTCGACGACGTGCCGTTATTTGGCACAGGAGGAAATGTGCACTTTTTTTAGGTTTTTCGTTGACACGTTATTTGAAGCGATCTCATGACGACATTACTTCCGGGATATTTCGGTCTTCCTTGCGCTTTTTATCCTCCTTGTCGAATTCCGTTCTGAATTCGCGAGGATTTTGCATCGTGTCGTCTGTTTTGTTTCCGCGTTACTTGTTTATGTGATCGTGCGTTTCACGTGCGCAAGAAGAGTCCCTTGGAAAGTTCGAGCAAATTCTGCAAAATTTACGTTAGAAAATACTGTATATCTTGAAAACATATCATATTGGATGCAATATTGGAGAAAAATACCTGGTTGAACGATTCGGGTCTTCGTCATCAAGTATAGCAATTTCGTCTCTGATCACACGTTGTCAAAAATAAATTTTGATCATTCCTTCTGGAATTAATTCTGCTATTTGCTCGAACTTTCTGATACTCCATATTGTGCATTGCTCGCTGAGACTCAGTTTGGGCAGCGATTTTGATACGAACTTGCTCATTCGGTCAGCCTTTTTCCCCCGAATCACCGCGTGTTCTGAGCCGAAGATCCAACAAAAAGTTGCGGGCAGGAAGAAGCTATGCAAAACTTTTTACGATACACTGCCTGAGGTTGTGGAACGTTTTTTTTATACTGCTTGAAGTATTTCGGCCCAATTCGTGGTTCGCTTGCAAAAAGGTCAAGCAAATTTAAAGAAAAAAAAGCTATGCGAAGTGATGCTCTCGTGTTAGTCCGTCTTGAACTGTTCGGTGTTTTGTTTCGTGACGCCAATTGGATGTTGTTTTTTTTTGTGTGTGTCGTCCTAACGGATTATTTGTAGCCATCTCTATCTATCTTCCGAATATGGTTCGAGAGTCTTGCCTATCCTGTATTCTTCCGCAGCTGTGATTCCCCTTTTTGATGCGAAGAGGTCGGGTTGTTCCACCATGTACAAAAGATCGCCGATTTCCAAGCTGGTTTCTAGCTGACCTAGGACTACCCTTGGTAGAAAAATTGCGGTGCACGCGAAACGCGAATGTTATTTATGGATTTATTATTGGTAGAATCTCAAAACAAAATTTCCACCCTGCCAGACATGTACCTAACCGGTTTTTTTTTTCCTTTCCGTTTTAGGGTTACGATTTTAATTCATTCAAAAATGTTTCTGGTTTTACCGGCAAGACTTGGGATGCCGGAGAGTGGAATTTTTTTTGGTGAAATACAAGGAGAGATGTCGAAAGCAGGGAGATCCGTTTTTTTCAGGGTTCATTGACCTCGTGGGGAGTGACCGTTGACTAGCGTACGTGTGGCCTCCTGTTCTTCACACATATGCCAAGAGGAGTTTGGTTCCTTGAGGCTTCTTTTTGTCGTACTAATTTTTCAATGGGGTCCCCACTGTGCTCCCTTGGTGTCTTCTAAGTGCTAGTAGGTGAGGTCCAAGCGCCGCACAAGAAGAGCATCTTGAACTCGAGAAAAGGAAAATTTGACTGAAGAATGTTCCTCTTGAGTACAGTATTTGACGGAAGAGAAAGTAGCATTTTTTTACGGATAGAGGGAGGCAGCGGGAAAGCATGGCGGCGCTCGGTGCAATGGTGACGAGGTTTCGATTGGTCAGGTTAATTCAACGAAGCAATACATTATGTGACGATTGAAAACGTGTTCCTTTTGACTTCATTTGGTATGTCAGAGAGTGAAAGACGTCATGTTGAATTGGAGAGTACGCGCTTGACCAAAAATATGTCTTTGACGCTCATCCTGAGAAGCATCGTATGGCTAGCCCTTCACGGTGCTGTATTTGGGGAGAAACGTGAGTTGAGTTTTCTGGAAACGCGCCGAAATTGTTGTAAGAATTCTTTTAATGTTGCACTACAGAGACATGGGAGAAGGATTTGTCGTCTCAGATGAAGATTGAGGTTAGTACGGATGGGTTTGATAGCATCCGAGTCGATTGCTCGAAAGACTCCATGGAAGTAACTGTGTTGATGGAAGAAGACTTCGACGGCGTTTTGTATACAAGAGGAAACTTCTATGATCAAACGGATTCTTGCTTCTTGGACGCAAGTGGTGGACGAAAATTTGAACTTTCTTTGCCATTCCGAAAGTGTGCCTTTAAAAAGGTACGTCTACCGATCCATTGCTCATTTTTTAAGACTGCACGGCAAGTAATTTAACCTTGACAATGAAATTCCTTGAGCAGCTGCAGTAATATTAGCTCTTCAAGTATGCTGTTGAAAAGGCACCTTGAATATTCAGACGTAAAACACGCTTGGAAAGTGTATACAAAGTTGCAAAAGTGGTGCAGGTATTGTTTTGGTGATAATTTACATCCTGAGCGGCTTCCATGTGGTTTGCTAACTTACTTTACTTCATCAGCTTTTGGATCTGTGGATGTTTGAGAGCTATGATTAAGAATGTATGTCTTATATTGTGTAGTCTGACTTATTCAGTCATGTTCTCAAAAATACTTGTTTCAGGAAAATGAAACTTACACCGCGACATTGGTGGTTCAGCATGATGATTTCCTCATTTTCCCTGGGGATCTTGCGTTTGAGCTTCGCTGTGATATGAATCCGCAAGAGTTCGTGGTTTCTGGGAAACTTTCAGGACCTGAAGAGGTACCAAAGGAAACGTCTACCTCCATGCCCAGGTAAGAAAATATATGTGGAGATAATGAAGTTTGTACTCATTGTGCTTTCAAAACTGTTCCCGCAGTGCCAGTATTGGGCTTGCAAATCCGGACCCTGCTGGGGCTTCTTTGCCAAAACACCAGAAGTCAACTATTAGCAGCAAAGATGGTGTTGCAATTTTCACCCCCGGTGATGTTCGTCCACGGAAGAAAGTAAAACTAGAAAAACAAATTGATACGGTGAAAGGAGAAGGAAAAGTTTTCATGGAAAAGCTGGAACTTTGACATAAATGAATTGACATTTTTGTAAAAAGTGTACATGGCCTGTTCTGATCATTCCTGTTCGTTAATTTCTCTCTGATCCCATACCAGGCATACGAAGTCTTCTCAGAGTAAGCAAAGGAGTTGATCGTGACTTTCAGAGGTGGGTATTGCTGGGAAAAGATTACTAAGTCATCTAGCCCTGTCTTCCTCAACCCCTGCCTTGAAGCATGCGTCAGATCATAGACAACCTGCCGGCATGTTTTACCAGTCCAAGAGGAAATGCCCCTTCACTAAATTTAATTTTTTGGTACAGTTCAAGTACTGTATTTATTTTTCCTTGGCATTGGTAAGTGTACAAGTTGGTGGTCTGTATAAGAAGATGAAAAATTTCCTGTAAATCATGGTGCGTATGTCTCAGACTTCACGAAGTGACTCGGTTGCTCAAAGGAATGCAATACAGTATTTTTATCCTTTGAAAGTCTGCGGAATAGTATCACTGATTTACATATGTAAAATTTTTTCGCAACACTATCTCACTCATGTTTTCTCCGAGCACCACTACTTACATTTGAAATTTGAATGAGTCATTCTTGGTAATCAATGCCACTCCTACTGATCCCTGCTTCCAGGTGCAAGTCTTCTTGCGTTAGAAAAAACGGAGCATCGTACCATTTTGAGTAAGCCGAGGAACACGTTCAATAAGAAGCCGCTGAAATTTTCTTCCAAATCTTTATTATCACTCAAAATTTTACCATACGGGTATCCAAAAAATTCGCGCTTCGAATATCAGCAAATCTAAATTCACGTCGATCATAAGCACATTAAATCGACTCTCCACACCATAACATTTTGAATTCTCTGTTTTTTTTTCCTCGGAATGCTTGATTTATCAACAATTTTGACTCTGTATCAAATCTGCGACTTGAAAAAAGGCTTAGCTCCTTTCTGAAGTTCGAGAAGAACTGATTGTACAACGAAAAACTTCCATGACTCCCAGGAACTGGCCGCGTATGCCTTGATACCCATCTGTCATTACCATTGAATGATTATGTACCGAAAATCTTCACGACAAGAAAATATTTTGGAAGGGCGGGGGGGTTAAATTACAGCTGATGATTCCAGATGGCAGTCCACATCAATCGCAGATCCCTGCACATTCCGCGGAGCTTTTCCCAATAAGTATTGCACATTTTGGCCTGTCTTTCGTTCCTTCTTCGCGAAAACGAACGCAAAACTCAAGTAAAGGAATTCCACGCGTGACTTGAAAAAAAGGTATCGCGGCTCATTCAGAAGGTCGAATTATGATCTCCAAAGAAAAAGGAGATCTTTTCAATCAACAGCAGTTTTCTCCCAGTCGACGGAAAAAAATGCGTGAACAGAATGCCAGAGCATTTTCTCAAAAGTCTCAAAAATTTGACTAACTTCAGAATTCGTGCTAATTTTTCAAATTTGCTGTTCTGTTTGCCTGTATCTCCGTCTTTTCGTCACAAAAACGCGACTACGGTAAAACGGGAAGACATCCGATTCAAGGTCAACTCTTCTTGACGTCCACGAAATTTCTAAAACTTTCAAACGTTCGGTTCTCTAAGCAAATTTCTTTCAAAAAATCTAGAAGACCGACGATTTGAATTTGAAAAAAAGCGGGGCTCAAAAGAGAACAGACGACCAGAGAAGTGAATGGAATAATCGAATGAATAACTTCTGCGACAAAGAAAAAAAAAACCGATCACAGTCAATCCGGAGTTTCAAACATCACGAAACAATACAGAGCAGCTGAACGCAAGCGAATTGAACCTTCGTAACAAATGAGACCAAACGGGTTCATCACAATCACAGTCTGCCTCCAAAAAGGAAGGTTTCTGACCATTATTGCATACTTTCAAAACACATGAATCGACAAAAAAGCTTTGAACATAAAAAGCCATACTCCTGAACTATCGCAGTAATTTGGCAGCGCAATGCCCACAGTTCGAACAACAACAAAAAAGAAATCATTTTACAGGAAAAAAAGCAAACCTAGAATTAATATTCCCTTTTCTTCACCATCCTAGAACTCCAAGACTTTCTCTCTCTCTCTCGAAATACATCTCGTGCGTATCACCACACATGCGCGCATTGCAAACTCTAATTCTGATAATCTTCATTATATCTTGGGTTTCGACAACAACGTTCTTTCCCTTCACTTACACAGTACAACAACGAATAGCTGCCTTGCGAAGGGCTTCGGAATCAGCGCAACACTTCTCGTATAGCAGCGATCTCCACTCGGAAGTAATAGAAAAAATTCGCAATCGGGAGGAAAAATTCTTTTGGGTGGTTCCAAAATTCATCGCGACGAAAACTGACTGAGCAATTATCCGCAGCAATTTTCGTCTCAATTAATGCAACCCTATGAAAAGAATTATAATTTTGTGGACCTCATCAATCTCACGTGCAAACCCAAGTTTTTCCGTTTCCCTTTTCCTCATACCGACATGAATGATATTGTCGTTATTCCTGACAGTTTTTTTCATTTGCAATATCAGCTGTTCCACAAATAATGCTCCCTCCTGAAAATAATATAGATCCATTGCGTCAAGCAATTAAATAGTGGATGATTTAAATCAACGTTTCTTCCAAATAACTACATCTTCCTGAAATGAACAAGGTTTTTTTTGTCGAGATCATGTTCGATTGATGAATCCTCGTTATCTCAGAAAAAAAAGGAATTTTTGCGATTAAAATCAGGTTGGTGGCGCACATATTAGGTCAATGCATTTGTCTCTTAATTTTGTAAACTGCTGGAGATCTCTTCATTCGAGTCAAAAGGACGGCATATATAGAATTGAATAGCCTTTCTTTCACGCGTATGGAACGAGAGTGATATTTTTGGTTCATGGTCATGAGTTAAAATTAAAATTTTCCGCAAGTTATTATTAACCAACGCTGTGCATGTTGGAAGAGAGGATAAGCAGCTTTTGCGCCCGAGTCGAGTCAGAGGGAAATTCGCGCGAAATGCAGAATCCTCCTCCTCCATATAGCAGCAGGCCAAACCCAAGCAACAGGAATGTCGTATCGTCTTCAGAGCACATGATCCTTCTTCTTCTCGCACAGCTATTTCATTAAAGGAATTCCGTTTCTGTCAATGCTGATATTATACGGCGGAGATCCGTTGCAGCAGATTGCTCAATGATGGCTACGTAAAATCATCAAGGCACAAACGCAGTGCCGATGCCCTTGAGTTCCGTGAAAACCTGGGTGAAGAAGCTGGGCTCTGCGTTGACGCGGAGCATGTCCTCCGACAGGGAGTTGACGATGAGGATGCACCGATCCCAGAACCGCTCCTTGTTGTCCTCCACGAGGAATGGTTTGAGCGGATACGAGATCTCGTTGCCCATGTACGAGTAGGACAGGTAGAGACAGGTGAGAACGACGGCCTGCAGTTCTTGCTCCGACCTGATGTCCTCGTGCACCAGGTCGCGGACCAGCATGTACACAAACACCACGTTTGCCGGATTGATGAACGCCACATCCTACAATTCCAGAAAGAGAGAGAGAAAAAAAGACAGGAAATCAATTTTGGAAACTCAATCATCGTCATGAAGAATTTTGCAAACATTAAAATACATAGTCACAGTGTGCGGAGCTAATGTTCCCCCCATCTGCTGTCTACCATACCCGCCGAAAGACTGGAAAATTCAATTCACAGTAATCATAAGGTACAGTTCAATTTCTTAAATTTCCGAATTACTGGATTATTATCATTACTTTATTACTAAATTTTTACCGTAGAAGGAATGCATTTCCAAGAAATGCTCAAGTAATATCAAACTTTCCGCGTAATATGTCTTCTTTTCAACGAACTCATCAGCATAAAAAAATCAATCTTTCCTTGAACGACATTGCACATGGTTTTTTATTTTATTTTATACACCGTTTCAGTTCAATTTGAATCTCATGCAGTGATTTTTAAAGAAGGAAGACTGTATATATACGTCTCAAAACATCATAACATGCTTTTCCCTGCACAGTATTTAATTTATTATAAAAGCAAATTTAGTACTGCGGAACATCCCTTCGTGCGATAGGCTTTTCTTTTCAAAGAAATATACTGTACAACTGAAACATAAGAGTTTTTTACCAAAATTTAAAATATTGAAATGATCTTTCCCTCACAAAACAATATAAAAATAGAATGTGTTCCCCGTTTATTAAATTTCAGATCAACCGCGGAGATATTTAGCATAAAATACTTTGCATGGTGAAAAGGATTCAATATTTCACAATAACCAAGAATCGTACCGCGTAAAATGCCATTAAAAATAAATGTACAAGGAAAAGTTTTTGGTTATATTTACCAAGAAAACAGATTAATTTGTTTTCGTTTACATCCAGAAATCAGCAACTTGTTAAAATATCCTGTGTAAGATCGATACAGTACTTATTCCTGGACTGACACGAATATGAAACTCCATGCAATAACGCAAAACATTTTTACGGGAGAAAAAAAAAGATCATAAATACATCTGATGCTGCTTTTAAATCAGAGACTCGAATCAAAATCAACGCATGGTTTATAAAAATGCTCTCTAGAAATATACAAGATTTCCACAAATTTAATTTATGAGCAGAAAAACTTGTGCTAGCAAAAGCCGTAATGTGGACACACGCCTTCAAGGCATGCCTGCGGAAATTGCCATATGAAAGCTGGCTCTCGAAGAAATGGATGGAATCAACAATGCGATACGTATAGTCCCATAAATAAAATAAACGATAACGTTCAGGAACGAACGCATTTGGAATCCAAACGTACTTCCTCCTGATGAAATAAAATAAAAAAGTTGACGAAAAATTCGCTCGTTCCTTGACCATCTCCCTACCGTAAATTAAATTTCCTTCCCCCCGCTTCCCGCAACAATACCCTTCTCTGACGTCATTCGACGGCAGAGTCAGAAAGGAAGTAAATTTCGATGGTCTTCATGCCATCTTGGTTCTAGAATACGGTACTGAGACTACAGAGACAAAAGAAAAAAAATCTTTTGCATGTCCATCAGCCCTATTCATGCGAAAAAATATCTCTTGCAGTGAAATTCACAGTAGAATATATTTTCTGGGGGCAAACGGAAAACTTTTCAGTGTCCTAAACTAAATACATTCGGTAGAAACACGCGGTTCTTCTGCGTTTATAATCCCCTTCATAGTTTAGGATATTCTCTGAAAAATAATCCGATAGAATTTTCAATTTTCATTTCATATATGTAAAAAAAAGAAAACGATGCTGTTGAGGATTCAAATGAAAAGAATAATCTCAACACAAATTAGATGAGAATTAAAATAAAGGTTCAGGTGAGGTTTTGAGAAAGGGAATAAAAATGCGGAATCCGCCCGGGACAAGGCAGGGAATCTCCGGTCAGATTCCAAAAGAAAAGTTTGAAAATATATTTCGAAATATTACAAGTCCCAAAAACACATTCGGTAGAAACACGCGGTTCTTCTGCGTTTATAATCCCCTTCATAGTTTAGGATATTCTCTGAAAAATAATCCGATAGAATTTTCAATTTTCATTTCATATATGTAAAAAAAAGAAAACGATGCGAAGACGCGCCCTCATTTTTCAAAAGTTGAAAACTCAAAAAGTGTCTCAAAATTCGCAGAAATAACGAAATTTCGAACACTGCAAAAAATTAGCTAAAATCCCAACAACTGGAATACACGAGAGTAGTTGTTCCGAAGAAACCAAAATGACGCGATCGCCAATTTTTTTTCTCGCACGTTTGCAAAAAATCGCGTGATTGACGTCAATAATGCGTCTGTCTCGTGCCACGAAATGAAGAAGGGGGAAAAGGGCGAAATCGCGCACAAGGCATTCCGCACTTCATCATTTTCTCCTGCCTCGGAATGAATTGTCAGACAAACTCCAGTACGCCGTACTTCCGGTCCAGGCAGGAAATCATCGCTCCCCCCATCCCCTCCTACTGTGCACTTCTCCCAAACACGCGATAACAAGAAGCTTTCCAACTATTCCAGAAGGTCTGAATTGAACCGTCTCACGCCAGCAACGATCCCCATTCAGGCGTATAAATACCGTAAAACCGTCGTTCTGCAGTACTGTATCTATAACTCTATTTATATACTGTACTGTACTGTAGACACAACGTGAAAAAAATAATATTCTCGGAAGGCAAATCACAATTTTTCCTGGTCTTTCGTTCAGTAAGTTGTCATCATAAAATACGAGAGTCCTGTAATACAGTGAGACCCCAAGATGCGGGCGTAATTGGGGCATCAAGAGTGTCCCTAAGTTGTCCCTAGTCCTGTAATACAGTGAGACCCCAAGATGCGGGCGTAATTGGGGCATCAAGAGTGTCCCTAAGTTGTCCCTAAGTCGAAACTCGGTTTCCCGTAGGCTTACATTATAAAATGTTTAATTGGTTTTTTATGCACAAAATACTCACCATAATTCCATGAAAATAAATATTGTCTCCCAATTTAAACTGATTCAATGTATATATTTCAACAGAATATAAACATTTGGGGAATTGAATACTGATACCTCTGTACAATACATAGAAATGTTGGCATTCTCTGTAAAAATAACATTCAAGTGAAAAAGAGAGAAGGAAGTCCCTGTATGTTGGAGGTAATTTCTAATTAACTAAACGGATGGTAAATTGGTGAGAGAAATGCCCAAGAACTTTTCTTGAATCAATTTTAGGGTCGGAAATATTTGTTACTTGTAATTTGGCCTGAAATGTATTTACAATTTTATCACAAAATGTCCCTATGTCTAGTCAGTGTCCTTGTTTAAGGCCTTTCTTATTAATTTTTATGGGAAAATAAGAAACCCTATGTCGAATTGTCTGCAGGTCAAGGTGTCCGCATGTGTGAGTCTCACTGTATGTTAAGGATACCCTGACTTTGCTGTGGTTTTCATGTATGTTTCCATTGTTACAGTTTTCATCAACAGGACTTTCTCCAAACAAATCATTTATGTTGTCAGGTCACTGGTCATTCACCTATCCTAAGCAACCGTCCTGGTTTCCTTTCTATCCTATGCACATTCATCAACCTGTTCTGCTCATCCAATAAATCTATAAGAGAGTGCCCAAACACTCTTTCCGCAATCATTGCTGGTTTGGTATATACACTGTTGACAGATTAACCTGGGATTGTATTAAAATCACGCTCTTGCCTTTGTACAGAGAAGTAGATTCATGTACGTCACCCCGGCCATGAAGCTCAATATTTCTTGACTTGGGTTATCTTAGCAAGCAAGCATCAAAGAGGAGAAAAGGGGTTAAAACCAAAGACTATGTTTGTAAATAATTTAATAATAACGTGTAAATAAATAACGTGTAAATAATTTAATTCAATCCTTCTGCAGCAGTTTAGGGCAACAAAGTTAAAATTCTTGACATCGTCACTGAGGTATAAAAAAATATCAGCCACCAAATAAAAGTTCTCAGGATGGAATGACGGGTTTTCTGGTAAAACTAGCACGAGAGCAAAACGATGATTGAAAACCGGAATCGCGTGGTCGAATATTTTTAACCATGCAATTTTTTCAATATTCAAAAACATGTGCATTCCTAAGAAAATTTTAGAGTTTTTATTTTAATCTCCACATTTGAGGTAGACACACATTTTGATCATTTTTTCGCCGCCATAAAAAAAAGATGAAATCAAAATCTTCCGTTGATACTCTCAACATAGAATGCAAGCGAAGATGTCAAAGGAATTTAATCATTCAAGAAAACGAACCATCAATCCAAACTTCATCGATTACGCTCGAGTTTTCAGCAACCCAAGTCCCGATGAGTTCGTGCAACTTCGTATAACATGAGAATATTTTCAGATCCCTCGTTGCTGAATGCTGACTGAATCTAACAACATCTCCTTCAGAGGAAGACTCTTAATCACGCTACGAAGAACTGCAAGAAAAGCAGAGGGAAAGGAATAACAGCCGAGAGGAAAAGAGCTTTGCATCGCGTTGATTAGATTTTCTCTTTTCCTACAGGACAGTAATTTCTGCAAGGAGAGAGGAAAACAAGATATTCAGCGTTCCCTTCCCGCAACGAGAGCACTATACACTAACTGGACAGTTGGTCGATATTCTCAGTGCGCAGAAGCCAAGAAAAAGGACTGACCAGCAGCCGTCATCATGTGACCAGCATGACTTTACGATGGCTCCTTTAAATAATAAAAGGCATCTGAGGACGTTCATTGAACATTCTCGGTTTGATTACAGCAATTTTTTGTTGCGCAATTAGGATCATGTGACCAATATGGCTTTACGACGGTTTCTTTAAATAATAAAAGGCATCTGAGAACGTTCATTGAGAAATATAAACATTCTTATATTATTCTTATATTATATTATTATTCAAACATTCTTGGTTTGAATCTAGCAATTTTTTGTTGCGCAATTAGGATCATGTGACCAATATGGCTTTCCGATGGTTTCTTTATATAATAAAAGGCACCCAAGAGCGTTCATTGTAAAATATAAAAATTATTGGTTTGAATCCAGCA